GAAAAACAACTATAACAACAACATAAACGAACAGCTAGTACTACTCAAGACTTAATCTACAAAAGCTGCTGAAAAATATCTCCACCATGATGAACACACAGCCGTAGTTTTTGGATAAATAACAGGTGCACATCTCTCAACACGTGCTCCCTTATGTTCAGAAAAGCATCCTTAATCCTTACCTTCATATTTTTCGGGGTAGATGGTGGATGTCTATAAACCTCTTAACGTAGCCCCATAGAAAGAAGTCCATCGATGTCATATTTGGTGATCTAGGAGGCCAAGATATAGGCCCATTACGACCGATCCAACGATTGTTACTCCAGGTGTCCAAATAGTTACGCACACGATTGTGGTAATGCACAGGTGCGCCGTCATGTTGGAAGTACATATGCATCCAAGTTTGCAGGTTGACATCATCGTAAAGAAAATACTCGATCAAAAATTCAAGTAATATGTACCTGTTAATCTGTTGTCGAAAAAGAAAGGCCCGATAATTTGTCTGCCAATAACTCCTCCCAACCATTCAAGCTCCATTTATTTTGGAAATCTATTTGCCTAACCCAGTAAGGATTTTGCGACGCATAGTAGTGTTATGCCTGTCGACAGAACATATGCTGTTAAAAGTTGCCGCATTGCTTAAAAGAACCTTATCCCGGAAAGTAGTGTCTTCACTCACCTTATTTAGCATTATTCTACTAAACCCCATTCGAGCTGCGAAATCCTGAGGACGAAAGCCTTGATGCAAGCATATGTGATATGGATGGTACCTATGCTTATGAATAATCCTTATGATACAAGTTCTGCATATGTCAGTTTCTGCTCCAATTTGCCGTGCACTTAAATGGGGATTTTCTTGCAACTTTAATAGAACCTCCAACTGATTTGCCAGCTTGGTGACACTTCTATTATTTATACATTTTTTACTATATTCCACTGCTTCACTTGACTCAAAACGTTCTCGTAGTGTGGAAAATATTTCCGGCCTTGGATGTCGCATATTAGGGTACCGTTGCTTATAAAACGAACGTGTTCACCATTTATTCTTTAGAAAAATTCATTTTCAAACACGTTTTCATTATAATGCTCACAAAGCTAATTTTGATAGTTTGTAGCTAATCAACAATTTATTTGTTTCCAAAGGCGAAGCGATATTTTAGCGAATTAAGCCGTTCCATAAAAGACGTGCAAATAACCGAAAAAATAGCCGTAAAAACCGTTATGTCTCTAGTATAAAAAAAAAATTGATTGAATAAAAACTTGCACAAATATACAGGTTGATGCATTTGAAATTTTTGAGAAAAACTAAAATTTGCGTTTTTGACCATTCTGTAAGAGCAAAAATTAAAATTCGAAAAAGTAACAAATGAGGTATGCATACCCTCGGGATCACACCAGCTGTGAAGTTAGGATAAATAATTCATATTAAGTGAAATTAGCTGCTTAAGTATATAGATGCAGTTCCACGGGGTTTCAGCACATGGCGTCTGTGGACATTGGCAACAGCTGAATCAGCTCCCTTCCTCAGGGGCTGCTTGGAACTCTCATTACGGGGCAGGACGTGGAAAAGTCGTCAGGGCTTCATCTGAAGGTATCAGCACTCGTTTGGTGGAGAAAACGTAAGGTGAAGAAGATGAAAAAGTTGGAAGAAGATGAAAAAGGCCTGAAATAAAAATCCAATATGGCGCTGGGTTCCATTTTAACGCAAGCCGAATTGCTTACCTCTGTTGGAGTGTGGCCTAAAAGTGTCGGCTAGAACGCCGTAAAAGCGTCGAAGACTCCCGTCTCTCACATCCACATAAAAAGGAAGAACGCTTAGACTTCATTTGGCGTAAAGATCCGCAAAATGCGTGCTTCTCAACAGAGCTACGACCAAAAAGTGAAGCTTCTTCAACTTGGACGCGGAACACAAAGTTCGAGAGGAGCAATGGAGCAATGGAACAACAGCGGACTGTTCCCGGACTGAAAGGACCGAACAACTGTCAAAATGTAACATTGTGGTTAGGAAAGAAACGAAGACGTAAACAATTCTCAGATGAAGGGGCCTCAACTACAAAATGAGATAATAGGTGGAGAGTTACGCATAAGTCATACAGAAAATCTTCAGGTAGTTAAACTAGAAATATGTCTACCCTTGTTTAGTGTTTACGATTATTGCAGGGTCACGGCAGTTCCTACAGTGTACAATTTTCAGCTAATAAATCTTGAATTCTGAGGTAACAAAATCAACTAGAACTCTGTAAAAGTGATTTATCAGAAATCATGCCCTTACTTCCATGATAAGAGGGATTCGTAAAAATTATAAGCAGGTTGTGGCTTATTATCTAGTAAAAGATACAAGAATCCCAGATCTAAAAATGATTATTGTTCATGTGATCACAAACTTGCAGCGACTTGGTTTGTGCGTCGTTGGCACTATTTGTAATCAGGGCGCAACGATCAAAAACGCACTTGAGACGATTTGCTCGGAGAATACTCACGGATCAAGTCCATTCCATTTTATAGTCAATGCTCAGAGTATTTCTACAATTTGTGATGAACAACATTTATTCAAAAATGGATGAAATGCTCTTATTGACATTAATATGAAAGTGAAGAAGCTGCACAGCTTGAACATGTCTAGAAAGCATATAATGTTGATCAGCAAACAAAACCATACAAAGAGCTATGTAAATTGAAACCCAGCCACTTTGATTTTATAGATTCGTTTAAGAATATAGAAATTAATCCTTTAATGGTATCGTCGGATGATTCGAGCTTTCTCAGTTATGTGGTGGGGGTCCCGTGACTTCTCATAAGGTATAACCACGTATACCTCAAACCACAGTTTAATTTAAACATCACAAGTGTTGGTTTGTTGACTTTGCGGTCAAATTTGATCCGAGGATGTCAGTTGCGTGTACGATTTGAACTTCCCTCACAATGGATTTTTTCGTTGTTGACGGATGAACAATACACCATAGATTACGCCGAGGACGACGCTGTTATCGATCAACCTGAACAACTTCCTATGGGCGACCTCGCTATGCTTATGGAAAAAACATGTACAATTGGTCAAAACGAGCGCCTGCAACTGGTCGATCCAGACGACAATATTATTACGCATTTACCTGAACTAAAGTCCGTGGCAACCAATTTGGAAAATAATAACCCTGTGCCTCGAGAAATGCAGATAAATTTCTCCAAATACGTGAAATTTTCGAGTCACTCATAGAGAACTGTCGAAATTGTTAAATTTCGGGTGAGTCCCCTACAAAATACGAGATGCTCGTGGGCCGATGTCCTTCCTATGCCTACAAGAAAACTAAACCGAATAAGTATGGACTGATGATGCAAAGACTCACCACTACCTGCTCAATGCTTTCGTCTATACGAACAGAAATATCACAGCAGATGACTGGTTCACGTCAGTAGAATTGCACGTAGAATTGCGCATCAACCAACTGACCTATGTCGGCAGGAAGCGTAAAAATAAGTAACAAGTACCTCAACATGTAGTTCCAAATAAGAAGGAAACACAGCCAGGAACTTCTAAGTTTATATTCACTAGCACTACAGCCTTAGTGTAGTATCTTCCAAAACCAAATACACATGTTCTCGTATAGCAATCTATGCAGCATGACAACAAAATAGTAGAGGAATCAAAGAAACCTGATAAGATTCTATATTATTTTTATAACACTATGAAGGCGGGGGGTAATGCATTAGATCGGAAGTGTGTAAATTACAATACTGGTTAGAGAACGAGAAGATGGCCTTGTGCTATTTGGTATCCAACCAGCTTCTGTAAATTCCTTTTTTTTCAGTCTGGGACTGAAAGTTCTATTAGGCGACGAAATTTTATTGTTCCCCTGAGGCAAACTCTAATTTAACTTCGTATGAGAGGACGTTTATCAGATCCAAGACTTCCTAGGGAGCTTCGTTCAGCCATGCAAAGAATCCTAAATTACCAACGACGAATAAAGTAAGCCGTCTACTTCTCAGCCCAGAGTTCTCGATCCTGATGCAATTGTTAAAGGGAAAAAACGACGTAGGTGTTACATGACAATACACAATGAAAAAAATGTTCTACAATCTGTAATAAGTATGTAAAGTCACAGCGCAGCTACATTGTTTCGTGAAAAGTGATAAATGTGAATTATTGTACGTTTCCTTATACGAGAAAGTATTTGTTATTGTTGTAGAATATCAACACCAAATATGTTGTTAAATGGCCCATTTTGTTAGTTTTTTTATGTTCATATTACAATTCAAGTTTCGTAAATTATATTTATTGCATTACTCATCTTCAAATGGGGTATTTTCGTTTTTAGACAATAAACAGTTTTCATGTAAGAGTGTTTTATGCGTACAAACCTGTTGTACACATGGCTAAAAAGAGTAATGGCATTTCAGAAGTTGATAGTAAGATCCGGTGGATAACCTGTTTTGCGAGATTAGACGTGGGATTTCCAACACGAACCCCATCTGCTTATTTGCAGCATTAAAAACTGTAATAATCAACAATTTCAGTTTTCCATTGACAATAATGAAGAATTATGAAGGCGATTCATGTAAGGCACTAGGTAACTTCGCGTTGCTTTTAGAAGAGTATTGTCTGAATAGACAACAGTTACCTTGTGATTCTTCACCGAGCTGCATTTTTCAAGTTGAAAAATCAGGTGCTGAAAGTGATGGATCTATAGATTTGTGAGAATTTGCTGCTGCTTCAACTTCTTCTTGTAATAACAATAACAGTCTATATGAAATTTAACAATTCTGTTTCTTCTTTGATTTTGAGTCACCCTGTAAATGTAGCTCTACTAAACTATCGGACCTCATTCATAGCCTACAAGAGAAAAAAATCTTCTATACTGGAAAGGAGGAAAAAAAGAATGTATCATCCTGATACATCTGCCCCTCTTTATAACCCGTGAAATAGCCCTAGTTCTAATTAAATTTCAGTTCAAGCTTCCAAAATGACTTCCGACAATATTAAAGTAGCCATAAAGATCAGACCAATGATCCACCGCGAAGTAGCCGATGGTCTAGAGCGTCTTTGGAACGTAAGAGAAAACTGCATATGGGAAGCCGATGAAAGTAGTCGCCATGGAGAGGTTTATATATTCGACCATGTATTTAACCAGGAATGTACAAATTCAGATGTATATGGATCTGTAGTAAAACCTTTAGTCGATTCCTTCATGGAAGGTTTCAATGCAACAATATTTGCATAAGGCCAAACATCTTCTGGCAAAACACACACCATTTTGGGCAATAAAACAGATCCTGGGCTTTTCCAATTAGTATCCAATCAGTTATTCCAGCATGTGGCAGACCAGGTTGATAAGAGGTACTTGATTAGATTCAGTTATATTGAAATCTACAATGAAAAGATCAATGACCTCCTGGATAAGAGCAATCAGGGTTTAACTATAAGAGAAGATATCAAAGGAAATGTGCTGCTTGATGCAAGGGAAGCTGTCGTAGACAATGTTGATCAAGTTATGGAGAACATGATGCAGAGCAATAAGATCAGACGAGTTGCAGCTACTCGCATGAATGAGAGGTCATCTCGATCACACACGATTTTCCGGATTATTCTGGAGTCGAAAGATGCCAATCAGAAAGATGGACCTGTACATATAAGCTACCTTAACTTAATGGACTTAGCTGGTTCTGAGAGAGTTTCTCTGACGAAAGCTGCTGGTGAGCGTCTTAAGGAGGGGGCTAACATAAACAAATCTTTGTCAGTATTAGGAAATGTGATAAGGCAACTAAGCGAGGGTAAGGAGTTTATCAGTTATCGCGATTCGAAATTGACTAGACTGCTCTCACAGGCTCTTGGCGGTAATGCCAAATCATTGATTATCGGGAATGTTATACGATGCCATAATGATTCTACTATAAAAGAGCTTCAGGATTAAATGGCTGAACTGGAATGCCAAAACGAAATCTGGATTATGAAAAATGACGACGAAATCAGTAAATTGCAACAACTAATTACAAACCCGGAGTAGGCTGGCACTTAACCAGAACCACCTGTGCAGGAAGACGTTGCATTTTATAGGGAGCAAGTTGAGTTCTCCCAGAACATGTACAAAAATGAGATAATAGGTGGAGAGTTACGTATAAACCATAGAGAAAATCTTCAGGCAGTTAAACTAGAAATATGTCTACCCTTGTTTAGTGTTTACGATTATTGCAGGGTTTGGACAAAGTTTAGGGCTGATCCCACGGACCACGATAGCACCTAGGACTTAAGATTGTGAATCTAGTCTTGGTAACCGCTCACAGTGTACAATTTTCAGCTAATAAATCTTGAATTCTGAGGTAACAAAATCAACTAGAACTCCGTAAAAGTGATTTATCAGAAATCATGCCCTTACTTCCATGATAAGAGCGATTCGTAAAAATTATAAGCAGGTTGTGGCTTATTATCTAGTAAAAGATACAAGAATCCCAGATCTGAAAACGATTATTGTTCATGTGATCACAAACTTGCAGCGACTTGGTTTGTGCGTCGTTGGCACTATTTGTAATCAGGGCGCAACGATCAAAAACGCACTTGAGACGATTTGCTCGGAGAATACTCACGGATCAAGTCCATTCCATTTTATAGTCAATGCTCAAAGTATTTCTACAATTTGTGATTTATTCAAAAATGGCTAAATGCTCTTATTGACATTAATATGAAAGTGAAGAAGCTGCACAGCTGGATCATGTCTAGAAAGCATATAATGTTGATCAGCAAACAAGACCATACAAAGAGCTATGTAAATTGAAACCCAGCCACTTTGATTTTATAGATTCGTTTAATGGTATCGTCGGATGATTCGAGCTTTCTCAGTTATGTGGTGGGGGTCCCGTGACTTATCATACGGTATAAGCACGCATACCTCAAACCACAGTTTAATTTAAACATCACAAGTGTTGGTTTGTTGACTTTGCGGTCAAATTTGATCAGAGGATGTCAGTTGCGTGTACGATTTGAACTTCCTTCACAATGGATTTTTTCGTTGTTGACGGATGAACAATACACCATAGACTACGCCGAGGACGACGCTGTTAGCGATCAACCTGAACAACTTCCTATGGGCGACCTCGCTATACTTATGGAAAAAACATGTACAATTGGTCAAAACGAGCGCCTGCAACTGGTCGATCCAGACGACAATATTATTACGCATTTACCTGAACTAAAGTCCGTGGCAACCAATTTGGAAAATAATAACCCTGTGACTCGAGGAATGCAGATAAATTTCTCCAAATACGTGAAATTTTCGAGACACTCATAGAGAACTGTCGAAATTTTTATATTTCGGGTGAGTCCCCTACAAAATACGAGATGCTCGTGGGCCGATGTCCTTCCTGTGCCTACAAGAAAACTAAACCGAATAAGTATGGACTGATGATGCAAAGACTCACCACTACCTGCTCAATGCTTTCGTCTATACGAACAGAAATATCACAGCAGATGAATGGTTCACGTCAGTAGAATTACACGTAGAATTGCGCATCAACCAACTGACCTATGTCGGCAGGAAGCGTAAAAATAAGTAACAAGTACCCCAACATGTAGCTCCAAATAAGAAGGAAACACAGCCAGGTACTTCTAAGTTTATGTTCACTAGCACTACAGCCTTAGTGTAGTATCTTCCAAAACCAAATACACATGTTCTCGTATAGCAATCTATGCAGCATGATAACAAAATAGTAGAGGAATCAAAGAAACCTGATAAGATTCTATATTATTTTTATAACACTATGAAGGCGGGGGGTAATGCATTAAATCGGAAGTGTGTAAATTACAATACTGGTTAGAGAACGAGAAGATGGCCTTGTGCTATTTGGTATCCAACCAGCTTCTGTAAATACCTTTTTTTTTCAGTCAGGGACTGAAAGTTCTATTAGGCGACGAAATTTTATTGTTCCCCTAAGGCAAACTCTAATTTAACTTCGTATGAGAGGACGTTTATCAGATCCAAGACTTCCTAGGGAGCTTCGTTCAGCCATGCAAAGAATCCTAAATTACCAACGACGAATAAAGTGAGCCGTCTACTTCTCAGCCCAGAGTTCTCGGTCCTGATGCAGTTGTTAAAGGGAAAAAATGACGTAGGTGTTACATGACAATACAAAATGAAAAAAATGTTCTACAATCTGTAATAAGTATGTAAAGTCACAGCGCAGTTACATTGTTTCGTGAAAAGTGATAAATGTGAATTATTGTACGTTTCCTTATACGAGAAAGTATTTGTTTTTGTTGTAGAATATCAACACCAAGTATGTTGTTAAATGGCCCATTTTGTTAGTTTTTTTATGTTCATATTACAGTTCAAGCTTCGTAAATTATATTTATTGCATTAATCATCTTCAAATGGGGTATTTTCGTTTTTAGACAATAAACAGTTTTCATGTAAGAGTGTCTTATGCGTACAAACCTGTTGTACACATGGCTAAAAACAGTAATGGCATTTCAGAAGTTGATAGTAAGATCCGGTGGATAACCTGTTTTGCGAGATTAGACGTGGGATTTCCAACACGAACCCCATCTGCTTATTTGCAGCATTAAAAACTGTAATAATCAACAATTTCAGTTTTCCATTGACAATAATGAAGAATTATGAAGGCGATTCATGTAAGGCACTAGGTAACTTCGCGTTGCTTTTAGAAGAGTATTGTCTGAATAGACAACAGTTACCTTGTGATTTTTCACCGAGCTGCATTTTTCAAGTTGAAAAATCGGGTGCTGAAAGTGATGGATCTATAGATTTGTGAGAATTTGCTGCTGCTTCAACTTCTTTTTGTAATAACAATAACAGTCTATATAAAATTTAACAATTCTGGTCCTTCTTTGATTTTGAGTCACCCTGTAAATGTAGCTCTACTAAACTATCGGACCGCATTCATAGCCTACAAGAGAAAAAAATCTTCTATACTGGAAAGGAGGAAAAAAGAATGTATCAACCTGATACATCTGCCCCTCTTTATAACCCGTGAAATAGCCCTAGTTCTAATTAAATTTCAGTCCAAGCTTCCAAAATGACTTCCGACAATATTAAAGTAGCCATAAAGATCAGACCAATGATCCACCGCGAAGTAGCCGATGGTCTAGAGCGTCTTTGGAACGTAAGAGAAAACTGCATATGGGAAGCCGATGAAAGTAGTCGCCATGGAGAGGTTTATATATTCGACCATATATTTAACCAGGAATGTACAAATTCAGATGTATATGGATCTGTAGTAAAACCTTTAGTCGATTCCTTCATGGAAGGTTTCAATGCCACAATATTTGCATATGGCCAAACATCTTCTGGCAAAACACACACCATTTTGGGCAATAAAACAGATCCTGGGCTTTTCCAATTAGTATCCAATCAGTTATTCCAGCATGTGGCAGACCAGGTTGATAAGAGGTACTTGATTGGATGCAGTTATATTGAAATCTACAATGAAAAGATCAATGACCTCCTGGATAAGAGCAATCAGGGTTTAACTATAAGAGAAGATATCAAAGGAAATGTGCTGCTTGATGCAAGGGAAGCTGTCGTAGACAATGTTGATCAAGTTATGGAGAACATGATGCAGGGCAATAAGATCAGACGAGTTGCAGCTACTCGCATAAATGAGAGGTCATCTCGATCACACACGATTTTCCGGATTATTCTGGAGTCGAAAGATGCCAATCAGAAAGATGGACCTGTACATATAAGCTACCTTAACTTAATGGACTTAGCTGGTTCTGAGAGAGTTTCTCTGACGAAAGCTGCTGGTGAGCGTCTTAAAGAGGGGGCTAACATAAACAAATCTTTGTCAGTATTAGGAAATGTGATAAGGCAACTAAGCGAGGGGAAGGAGTTTATCAGTTATCGCGATTCGAAATTGACTAGACTGCTCTCACAGGCTCTTGGCGGTAATGCCAAATCATTGATTATCGGGAATGTTACTTTAGCTGCAGAGGAGGAGACTAGATCTACACTAGAATTCGCCCAAAGCACTAAAACTGTCAAAAATAAACCGAAAGTAAACATCTTGTCAGCTACAGAAGAGGCACTTCAAGGATATCAGAACTTGACTCGCGATCTCGAAACTCGGCTCAAAAAGCAGGCAATTAAGCTAGAAGAGATGCAGAAAAGCAAACAAGAGTATCTGCTCGAGATAGAAAGACTAAAAACGGAAGTATCTATTGTCGGGCGCTTTCAAATGGGAGCCTCGGCATCAACACCGAAAAAAACATTAAGACGTCATACTTTTGGAGACTATGGCAACGTATCACCTAAAAAAGCATCCCTACGGTATATGCCATTGAAAAATTATCCACCCGAAGAAGAATCATCCGGACGTGAAATGAGGCCTATTCAAAAAGAGACATATGAGGAGGCACTAGCCGAAGCAGAATCTGTGATAGCTGAAGACGTGCCTGCAAGTGTGCTTAAAAGACAACTCCAAGAACTGGAAGAATCTTTCAATGTGCTTAGAGAATTCACTAAACTAGATAATCAGCTGGAGATTTTGGACCTGAAGAAACAGCTCACAGAAGCCAATTCTAAAATCGATCGTTACAGTCAGGAACTCCGCCAAGTAACGGATGCGTACAATGAAGAAATAGAAAGGGTTCAAAAAAATTCTCAAAAAGCGCAAGAATTTCATCGACTTGCAACACAGACTCGATTTTCTGGAAAAAAATTATAAAAAGACTAAAAACATACGAGTCAGAAATAGAGATGCTGCGTAGTCAACTGAAGAACCTAGGAAGATCAGAGAGCCCTAAACTATCTCTTGAAGCTCAAAATATTGAGTCAAAAAAGAAGGTTGCAGACTTAGAAGCTATGCTTGACGCTGAGTACGAAGATATGCAAGTTTCTTTAAGTGCTGCTACACAAACTGATGTAACGATGTCACACATTGCTGAACTGCAAGATGAAATTGGCTTCCTAAAAGAACTTGAATCTAAACTGAGAAATGACGCAAAGAGTCTGATGGACGACAATATTATTTACCTGAACTAAAGTCCGTGGCAACCAATTTGGAAAATAATAACCCTGTGACTCGAGAAATGCAGATAAATTTCTCCAAATACGAGAAATCTTCTAGACACTCATAGAGAACTGTCGAAATTGTTATATTTCGGGTGAGTGCCCCTACAAAATACGAGATGCTCGAGGGCCGATGTCCTTCCTGTGCCTACAGGAAAACTAAACCGAATAAGTATGGACTGATGATGCAAAGACTCACCACTACCTGCTCAATACTTTCGTCTATACGAACAGAAATATCACAGCAGATGACTGGTTCACGTCAGTAGAAGTACATGTAGAATTGCGAATCAACCAACTGACCTATGTCGGCAGGAAGCGTAAAAATAAGTAACAAGTACCCCAACATGTAGTTCCAAATAAGAAGGAAACACAGCCAGGTACTTCTAAGTTTATGTTCACTAGCACTACAGCCTTAGAGTAGTATCTTCCAAAACCAAATACACATGTTCTCGTATAGCAATCTATGCAGCATGATAACAAAATAGTAGAGGAATCAAAGAAACCTGATAAGATTCTATATTATTTTTATAACACTATGAAGGCGGGGGGTAATGCATTAGATCGGAAGTGTGTAAATTACAATACTGGTTAGAGAACGAGAAGATGGCCTTGTGCTATTTGGTATCCAACTAGCTTCTGTAAATTCCTTTTTTTCAGTCTGGGACTGAAAGGTCTATTAGGCGACGAAATTTTATTGTTCCCCTGAGGCAAACTCTAATTTAACTTCGTATGAGAGGACATTTATCAGATCCAAGACTTCCTAGGGAGCTTCGTTCAGCCATGCAAGGAATCCTAAATTACCAACGACTAATAAAGTAAGTCGTCTACTTCTCAGCCCAGAGTTCTCGATCCTGATGCAGTTGTTAAAGGGAAAAAACGACGTAGGTGTTACATGACAATATACAATGAAAAAAATGTTCTACAGTCTGTAATAAGTATGTAAAGTCACAGCGCAGCTACATTGTTTCGTGAAAAGTGATAAATGTGAATTATACGAGAAAGTATTTGTTTTTGTTGTAGAATATCAACACCAAATATGTATGTTGTTAGATGGCCCATTTTGTTAGTTTATTTATGTTCATATTACAGTTCAAGTTTCGTAAATTATATTTATTGCATTACTCGTCTTCAAATGGGGTATTTTCGTCTTTAGACAATAAACAGTTTTCATGTAAGAGTGTTTTATGCGTACAAACCTGTTGTACACATGGCTAAAAACAGTAATGGCATTTCAGAAGTTGATAGTAAGATCCGGTGGATAACCTGTTTTGCGAGATTAGACGTGGGATTTCCAACACGAACCCCATCTGCTTATTTGCAGCATTAAAAACTGTAATAATCAACAATTTCAGTTTTCCATTGACAATAATGAAGAATTATGAAGGCGATTCATGTAAGGCACTAGGAAATTTCGCGTTGCTTTTAGAAGAGTATTGTCTGAATAGACAACAGTTACCTTGTGATTCTTCACCGAGCTGCATTTTTCAAGTTGAAAAATCGGGTGCTGAAAGTGATGGATCTATAGATTTGTGAGAATTTGCTGCTGCTTCAACTTCTTTTTGTAATAACAATAACAGTCTATATAAAATTTAACAATTCTGTTTCTTCTTTGATTTTGAGTCACCCTGTAAATGTAGCTCTACTAAACTATCGGACCGCATTCATAGCCTACAAGAGAAAAAAATTTTCTATACTGGAAAGGAGGAAAAAAAGAATGTATCAACCTGATACATCTGCCCCTCTTTATAACCCGTGAAATAGCCCTAGTTCTAATTAAATTTCAGTTCAAGCTTCCAAAATGACTTCCAACAATATTAAAGTAGCCACAAAGATCAGACCAATGATCCACCGCGAAGTAGCCGATGGTCTAGAGCGTCTTTGGAACGTAAGAGTAAACTGCATATGGGAAGCCGATGAAAGTAGTCGCCATGGAGAGGTTTATATATTCGACCATGTATTTAATCAGGAATGTACAAATTCAGATGTATATGGATCTGTAGTAAAACCTTTAGTCGATTCCTTCATGGAAGGTTTCAATGCCACAATATTTGCATATGGCCAAACATCTTCTGGCAAAACACACACCATTTTGGGCAATAAAACAGATCCTGGGCTTTTCCAATTAGTATCCAATCAGTTATTCCAGCATGTGGCAGACCAGGTTGATAAGAGGTACTTGATTAGATGCAGTTATATTGAAATCTACAATGAAAAGATCAATGACCTCCTGGATAAGAGCAATCAGGGTTTAACTATGAGAAGATATCAAAGGAAATGGGCTGCTTGATGCAAGGGAAGCTGTCGTAGACAATGTTGATAAAGTTATGGAGAACATGATGCAGGGCAATAAGATCAGACGAGTTGCAGCTACTCGCATGAATGAGAGGTCATCTCGATCACACACGATTTCCGGATTATTCTGGAGTCGAAAGATGCAATCAGAAAGATGGACCTGTACATATAAGCTACCTTAACTTAATGGACTTAGCTGGTTCTGAGAGAGTTTCTCTGACGAAAGCTGCTGGTGAGCGTCTTAAAGAGGGGGCTAACATAAACAAATCTTTGTCAGTATTAGGAAATGTGATAAGGCAACTAAGCGAGGGGAAGGAGTTTATCAGTTATCGCGATTCGAAATTGACTAGACTGCTCTCACAGGCTCTTGGCGGTAATGCCAAATCATTGATTATCGGAATGTTACTTTAGCTGCAGAGGAGGAGACTAGATCTACACCAGAATTCGCCCAAAGCACTAAAACTGTCAAAAATAAAACGAAAGTAAACATCTTGTCAGCTACAGAAGAGACACTTCAAGGATATCAGAACTTGACTCGCGATCTCGAAACTCGGCTCAAAAAGCAGGCAATTAAGCTAAAAGAGATGGATAAAAGCAAACAAGAGTATCTGCTCGAGATAGAAAGACTAAAACGGAAGTATCTATTGTCGGGCGCTTTCAAATGGGAGCCTCGGCATCAACACCGGAAAAAACATTAAGACGTCATACTTTTGGGACACTATGGCAACGTATCACCTAAAAAAGCATCCCTAGGGTATATGCCATTGAAAATTATCCACCCAAAGAAGAATCATCCGGACGTGAATGAGGGCCTATTCAAGAAGAGACATATGAGAGGCACTAGCCGAGCAGAATCTGTGATAGCTGAAGACGTGCAAGTGTACTTAAAAGACAACTCAAAGAACTGGAAGAATCTTTCAATGAGCTTAGAGAATCACTAAACTAGATAATCAGCTGGAGATTTTGGACCTGAAGAAACAGCTCACAGAAGCCAATTCTAAAATCGATCGTTACAGTCAAGGAACTCCGTCAAGTAACGGATGCGTACAACGAAGAAATAGAAAGAGTTCAAAAAATTCTCAAAAAGCGCAAGAATTTCATCGACTTGCAATACAGACTCGATTTTCTGGAAAAAAATAATAAAAAGACTAAAAAACATACGAGTCAGAAATAGAGATGCTGCGTACTCAACTGAAGAACCTAGGAAGATCAGAGAGCCCTAAACCATCTCTTGAAGCTCAAAATATTGAGGTCAAAAAAGAAGGTTGCAGACTTAGAAGCTATGCTTGACGCGAGTACGAAGATATGCAACATTCTTTAAGTGCTGCTGCACAAACTGATGTAACGATGTCACACATTGCTGAACTGCAAGATGAAATTGGCTTCCTAAAAGAACTTGAATCTAAACTGAGAAATGACGTAAAGAGTCTGATGGACGAGAGTGAACCAACGTGAGGTCAACCACTCATTTAAAATCTCAGATATACGATGCCATAATGATTCTACTATAAAAGAGCTTCAGGATCAAATGGCTGACTGGAATGCCAAAACGAAATCTGGATTATGAAAAAGGACGACGAAATCAGAAAAATTGCAACAACTAATTACAAACCCGAAGCAGGCTGGCACTTAACCAGAACCACCTGTGCAGGAAGACGTTGCATTTATAGGGAGCAAGTTGAGTTCTCCCAGAACATGTACAAAATGAGATAATAGGTGGAGAGTTACGTATAAACCATAGAGAAAATCTTCAGGCAGTTAAACTAGAAATATGTCTACCCTTGTTTAGTGTTTACGATTATTGCAGGGTTTGGACAAGTTTAGGGCTGATCCCAGTGCTCACAGTGTACAATTTTCAGCTAATAAATCTTGAATTCTGAGGTAACAAAATCAACTAGAACTCTGAAAAAAAGTGATTTATCAGAAATCATGCCCTTACTTCCATGATAAGAGGGATTCGTAAAAATTATAAGCAGGTTGTGGCTTATTATCTAGTAAAAGATACAAGAATCCCAGATCTGAAAACGATTATTGTTCATGTGATCACAAACTAGCAGCGACTTGGTTTGTGCGTT